GACCCCATGGACAGCCTGCCAGGCTCCTCTGTCCATGGAATTCTTCAGGCAAGAATACTGGAATGGGTTGCCATTCCCTTCTCCAGGGGATCTTCCCGACCCAGGGATCGAACCCAGGTCTCCTGCACTGCAGGTAGATTCTTTTCCATCTAAGCCACCAGGGAAGCCCAAAGAATGAAATAATGCCATTTGCATCAATATGGATGAACCTAGAAATTGTCACACTGAGTGAAGTTAAGTCAGACAGAGATGGAAAAATATTGAATGACTTCCCTTACAGGCAGATTCTAAAAATATATGATACAAATGAAAGAAACAGACTCACAGGGTTAGAGAATGGATTTATGGTTACCAACCGGGAAGGGTAGGGGGAAGGGATAGTTAGGGAGTTTGGGATGGGCAGGTACACACTGCTATAAGCAGGAAGCACCTATTGTATAGCACAGGGAACTCTGCTCGATGTCATGTGACAGCCTAGATGCAACAGAGTTTGGGGGAGAATGGATGCAAGTATATGCGCGGCTCAGTCACTCTGCTGGGCACCTGAAACTATCACAACACTGTTCGCTGACCATACTCCAATATAAAATTAACAAGTTAAAAGTAGACACAAGCGAACAGAGAGTTAAAGCCAAGGAGGACAGGATCTGTCCTGGGTCTTGAAAAGCATCTCTCTGGTGAAGGTGTGGTGAGTAGTGAGATCAGTTACAGGGTGTTCAAGTCCCACATGTGAGAGAGGACAGCGAGATGAGGGGAAATTCTGAGAGATCGGATGCAGCATATGTGAGAAAAGAGTCTAGGATTAGCCCATGGTTTCTGAGAGAGGGGCGGACAGAGGGGTGAGAAAATCAGCAGTTCACCTGATCCACATACATCTGAGCCACCCAAGAGCCTCCCAAGTGGAGACCAGGAGTTCATCGACAGCTGGGTGTTGACACGTCTTTAGCTCAATGAAACGAAACAGGGATAGAATTTCACATCTCTGGGTTATCAGCATGTGGATGGCATTTCAGTCAGGAGGCAGGATGAGGTCACAGTGTGGGGAGTGCGGGGAGAGAAGGAGTGTGGAGAAGCTAGGGGGAAAGGAAGACAGTGTTGGCCCTGGGGTGATCCAGTGTAGGAAGGTGAGGGGGTGAAGTAAGGCCACAGGCACTGGGAAGGAGCAGTTGGCCAGGTAGGTGACGAACCAAGAGAGAGGCGTCTCAGAGGTCAAGTGGAAACAGTGCTTCAGAAAGGGCAGCGACCATCCATGTCCAGTGCCAGGTTGGATTATACCAGGACTGAGAATTAACCCCCAGAGGTGACAATGTGGAGGGCACCGGAGACCTCGACAAGAGCAAGTTCTGTGCTTGCAGCTGTGGACCCCAGATGGGTGCCGCACACAAGCACCTCAATCTATTCTGCCCTGCTTTCTCCTTGGGTCCCAATTCCCTTCCTCTCCTACAGCTCATGAACAGTATGAAACAGTATGAAAAAGCAAAAAGATATGACACTGGAAGATGAGACCCCCAGGTCAGTAGGTGGCCAATAAGGAGAAGAGTGGAAAAAAAGCTCCAGAAGGAAAGAAGAGGCTAAGCCAAAGCAGAAATGATGCCCAGCTGAGGATGTGTCTGGTGGTGAAAGTAAAGTCTGATGCTGTAAAGAACAATATTGCATGGGAACCTGGAATGTTAGGTCCATGAATCAAGGTAAACTGGAAGTGGTCAAACAAGAGACAGCAAGAGTGAACATCGACATTTTAGGAATCAGTGAACTAAAATGAATGGGAATGGGAGAATTAAATCAGATGAACATTTACATCTATTACTGTGGGCAAGGATCCCTTAGAAGAAATGGAGTAGCCCTCATAGTCAGCAAAAGAGTCTGAAATGCAGTCACTTAGCCTCATTGTGCTTCCTGCAACGGAGTAAATAAAATATGGATAATTAACCATGCTTCAAATGAAAGGTGCTCTAAATAAATGGCATTGTATTAAAAAAAAGAAATAAAGGAGTGGTGTTAGTGTTACTTGTATTCTTTCTTTTAACTTAAACTATAAAACCAGTCAATCCTAAAGGAAATAAACCCTGAATATTCAGTGGAAGGACTGATGCTGAAGCTGAAGCTCCAATACTTTGGCCACCTGATGCAAAGAGCTGATTCAGTGGAAAAGACCCTTGTGCTGGTAAAGAATGAGAGCAGGAGGAGAAGGGGGCAACAGAAGATGAGATGGTTGGATGGCATTATCGACTCAGTGGACATGAGTGAGCAAACTCTGGGAAATAGCGAAGGACAGGGAAGCCTGGTGTGCTGCAGTCCATGGAGTCATAAAGAGTCAGACACGGCTTGGTGACTGAACAACTACAAAACTATAAAATCTCAGAGGACAGGTCTTCTACTTATTAGTACTTCTTTGCATCAAGCATAGGGTCCTGGTGGATGCAAAATAAATATTCTTTGATTTAATAGGTCATAAGGGATAAATCCCCTTGGGTCTAGGAAATGTATACTGGCCATGCTCAGGGATTTTCCTCTCACCTGCCACACGTTCTCCTCCAGTCATTCAATCATTCCTTCATTCACTCACTCTGCAGTTCCTCCTGGGGGCCACATTCCCTAAAACTAGAACTTTCTGGTGCATGACCCAGCTCTGTCACTGATTTTTTGTCTCTTAGCCTTGTTGGCTGTGAGTTGAGGAAATCAAGACAGACGGTCTAAAATACAAGCCAGAACAGTGGAACAGGTCTGTCTTAGATAATCTTCCGTCTAAATAAGAGGGACTTGAATAAAGTAGTAGGTTGTGTCAGATTAGGGAGATTCTTGCATGCCAAGCTCAGAGTAGGTGCTCAGAATATTGGTCCATCACATCCATGGTACCCTGAAGAGGGCAGAACAGGAGAGAGTGGAGAACGGGAGACTAGTTAGAAAACTGAAGAAGCAGTGCCATACTGGAGGTGATGAGTTCTGAATTAGGAAAGAGAAGAGACAGGACCACAGGTGGCAAGCCTGTCCTTGGATGGCACCTTTGTTAGGGACTGAGTCAACACCCACTCTGGTCCAGGTACCAAGTCCAGGCTCGAGGTGTTCATGGCAGCTGAGAGCATGGGAAGCATGAGATAGAAAGTGGGGATGTGGCAGAAAGCAAAGACAGAACCGTGTGTACATGTTAAGTCACTTCAGTTCGGCTCTTTGTGACCCCATGGACTGTAGCCTGCCAGCTTCCTCTGTCCATGGGATTCTCCAGGCAAGAATACTGGAGTGGGTTGCCATTTCCTTCTCCAGGGAATCTTCCTGACCCAGGGATTGAACCCACATCTCTTATGTCTCCTGCTTTGGCAGACGAATTCTTGAAGGGGCACATCTACATGCAATGTGCCAAGTGCTGGCCGCAGGTACAAATAGGATGATAATGGGGACAGAGGAAGCGATTTTTGAACTGTGAGTTCCTCCTTTCGCCTTTCCAGATCCACTCTCCACCTTTCTCCACTTTGCTCTCTGACCCGCCCTCCAGGAGGCTGAACTGTGTGGACCACAGTGGGCTTCTCGTCCTTGGCATCTGGCTGTGTATCAGAGGGCAAGGGGAGACAGAGAGCAGAGCACTGATCCCCTTCACTTCCAGAAGTTAACCTTGAGTTAGCTTTGTCCCTCATCTGAGCCACTGCCCCTCTCAAGGTGGTCTGTTCTACAGGACTCACCTGGCTTCTGGTTTACCCTTCTCTCCTCCAAGGCCTGACTTACGACAGCTCTGCAATTACGATCCCCTGTGGTTTCCTTATGCCCCAGCTGTAACTCTGTAATTCATTCCTTTATCCCAGTTTGATTATATTAATATCTCTGGCTCTTGTTGGGACTCTGATAAATGCTGGACCTTTGAAATACGAATTTGCAATTCTTTTGGACTTTTTCCCTTAGTAAACTATGAGCTCTTCTATGAGAAGGTATGTCTTGTCAATCTTAGTTCTGTTTCTCCCTACCTCCACTGTTTACCACGATTTCCATTCACAGTGGTTGTTTATTGCTTGTTCAAAAATGTTAATTTCTCCTCAGTCACAACCACTTCTCTGACCCTAGCTGGTCCCGTGTGGCTCAGTCACAAATATTCCCCTCTGAGTCTATGCCCCTGGCAGGATTACCAAGGCACGGAGCTAAAGCTTCATTTTTCTCTTTCACCTTCTGGCTGTTCTTAACTCACTGTTTCTTAATCAATAAGCTAAATGTTCCCAGTAAGGCCTTTTCCTGCCCAATACCCCAAAGGGTACAGATTTCACCTCAATATCAGATGCATGTGACCTCAGAAAAGACCCTAAATCTCTGTTGTAATTTCTAAGATTGCAAAATCAAGATAAAACTAATACCAACTTTATGAGTGGCTGAAAGAATAAAAAAAATGTGATGTTTCATAGAATTTACTGTCTTTCTCATGAAATATATCAGTGACTTGAAATAACAAGCATTCTCTCCACCCGCGCTCTACTTTCTTCAACTGTTTTCATGAGGTAAACAGGACATTAAAACATCGAGCACAATCATAACAACTGACATTTCCTGAGTACTTCCTCCCTGCCAGGAACTATTCTAAGCACTTATATATGTCATTTCATTTAATCTCCACAAGAAACATGTACGATCGAGTCTTCTTTATCCCAATTTTTACAGATGAGGAAAAACATGGCACAAAGAGATGTGACTTGCTCAAGGTCAGGAGCTGGAATTGAAACCTAGGAAGCTCCATCCAAAGTCAGTAAGCTGTTAACCCTTAGCTTACCCGTCTCATTCATTTACATTCCCTGTGACATATGTGAAGACAAATCCTACAGATTGGCCAGAGTTAATGAACTATCATGGGGAAATTATTAAGGGACTGAGAGTAAAGTTTGCACTTGTGGAAATTCTTGAGAATTATATTTCAGCTCAGGTGTTGCACTCTAAAATTCAAATTCAGTCCATTGTGTCTGGTTAACTGAACAGCATTCTTAGCATCTCAGTGTGGTCAAGGACACGTGTTCTAGCCAGAGACTCACCTGAACTTAGCGCATGCTCCACTTCTTGCATGATCACTCCAGGGGAGGAGGTGGTGGTCTCCATGTCTATCAGTATACAGGTCACTTTGGGGGGCACAGTTGCTTGGGACGTGGCCTCCGTGGGCACTGACTCGGCTGAGGCATGGGAAGTAGGTGTGCGGGTAGAGCTGTGCCCTTCCGTGTGGGACTCTGGTGTGGTTGGGGCTCGTGTGGGCTCGGCGCTGGTCTCAGCAGAGCTGTGGCTGGTGCTGATGGAGGCAGATGGAACCTCAGGTGGAGAGGTTGATGGGGGTAAGGGCGATGATGCTGGAACTTGAGGGGAGGTGAATGTGGGAGACTTAGAAGGGGGGTGTGATCCCGTAGTGGGCACGCCGGCCTCTGGAGTGTCTGAGCTGTGTTCCTCGGGCGTGGGTGTTAAGTGGACCCCACCGCTTGTTGGGGAAGGGTCTGTGCCCTCCCAGTTGGAGGCAGGGCTGGTGGACTGCTCTTCTCTGGGCTCTGTGGAGATGTTCTTTGTGGGTGGAGATGTGGGGACCAGTGTTGAATCTGGGAGGACTGAGCTGTTGGGCGGGCCACTGGAAGGGGAGGCAGGAGGGCTTTGCGGAGAGCTGGTCCAGATGGCTGTCGGTGGGGTGGTCTCTGCCAGAAGAGAATCAGTGGACAGGATGGACGCAGACACGCTCAGTAGCCTCAGCCCTGCAGAAGAGCCAGGACAAAAGTGGTTAATGTGTGAAAAAGTGCACGGCAAGGCTGTGTTACAGTATTTTCACAGGTCTTTCTCATTTTACACTGTGCCTCTGTAATTGTGAAGGTGACTTTAAAAATATTTTCATCCCATTAATTGCTCTCTCCTCCCTTGGTGACCATCAGTAGGAACCAGCCTGAAGGCTCAGCAGGAGCAATTAGTGGGTCAGTATGCACAAGTTCAGCCAATACATGGCGTGAACTAGCCTTGTCTCTGCTTGCTTAAAGCCATGCCCTTAAATACTGAGACACTCTGCGGAAGTGACTTTATGAAAATTTGTCTGGACTGTTAAAGGGGCTGTTCCACATGGCCTGGGGATGCCCAGCCTATGTGATGGGTTTGGGGAAGTGCAAAGCTGGTGGAGCTCACTGATTGGCTCTTCCTTGCCATGGGTGCTCACTGATTGGTTGCTCCCTGCCTCAGGGTTCTGAGCTCTGCAACTTGGCACAGGGATGCAAGATGGGCTTGCCCACTTGGGTGGATAAAGGTGTGAGCATATTTCCTGTGGAAGAAGAAAGCAGGAGGTCCCCGATTAAAAGCTGAGTAGAGGAAGGAATCTGAAGTTTGGAAATATTTTCTGAGACTAGGACCTGGTTCTCCCAAATTTGAGCTTGGGGTCTTTACCTTCATGTTGTTTTGCCATTTTTTTCATATTTTGTAAAATTTTGGAATTAGTTTTCTTTCTTCTGTCCTCCCTACCTCCATTTATCCCATTCAGTTTCATTCATTCACTCAAGTATTTAATAAATGGCTTCTATGTACTTGTACTATGCTAGACACTGAGTTTATGATTTCACTTTTTATGTAGCACATCTCTTGATTGCCCCGCCACACCCCTGACCATTTCCCAACAAGCTTTTTCCCTAGTCATTTCCATCTCAGTGGATGGCAAGGTCTTTCGATTAGTTACTCAGTTAAAAATCCAGATATCATCCTTAATGCATCTCTTTCCCTCACTGCCCCTCCTCCATCCAACCATCAGCAAATCATGATGACCGTACCTTGAAAACAGATCTGAATCCAGTCACTCCTCGCCACCTCCCTTATCATCTCAACATCATCTGAGCCACCAGTTGTCTAGACAACTGCCACCATCTCTTAATAGGTCTGCGAGCTTCCAGATTTCCTCCTTTCAGCCTACTTTTCACATAGCAGCCAGTGTAATATTTTAAAGTGATAAATCAAACTGATTTAAACTGATCAAAACCCTCCCAAGGTTATGCTTAGAAGAAAATTCAAATCTATATCCTTATGTCATCATTCCATGTTCTCATCATTCTAGTTAATCTCTATTCAAATGTTAACCTCCTCCTTAGACAGTCCTAGCCAAAGTCATTCCTATTTCAGCCCCTTGCTTATTTTTTCCAAGGTTTAAAAAAAATTTTTAGTGTTAACACATACATTTAACGTTTTAACCATTTTTGAAGTGTATAGTTCATTGGCCCCAAGTACATTTTCCTTACTGTTCAACAATCACCATCATCCATCTCCAGAACTTTTTCATCTTCCCAAACTGTACCCATGAAAAAATAACTCTTTATTTTCCCCTTTCCCCAGTCCCTGGAAACCACTATTCTACTTTATATCTCTTGAATTTAACTGCTTTAGGTATCTCATATAAATAGAATCATACAATACTTGTCCTTTTGTTTGTGACTTATATCACTTGCTAGCAAAATATCATCAAAGTTCACCCATGTTATAGCACATGCCAGAATTTCCTTCCTTCTGAAGGCTAAATAATATCCCATTGTAGACACCACATTTTGTTTATTCATTCATCCAGTGATGGCCACTTGGGCTGCTTCCACCTTTTGGTTATTGTAAATAGTGCTGCTCTGAATATGAGTGTACAGATATCTGTTCGGGACCATGCTTTCAATTGTTTGGGGTCTATGCCCCCAAATGGAATTAGCCATTCCATTTTGATCTATTAGGTCAGCGGTAAAGAATTCACCTGTCAATCAGGAGACACAGATTCAATCCCTGGGTCGGGAAGATCCTCTGGAGAAGGAAATGGCAACTCACTCCAATATTCTTGCCTGGCAACTCCTATGGATAGAGGAGTCTGGCGTGTTACAGTCCATGGGATTGCAAGAGTTAGACATGAGTTAGTGACTAAATCACCACACATACAAGTTTCTATGTTTAATTTTTTTGAGGAACCACCACATCTTTTGCTTTTTTTTTTGTTTTTCATAAAGTTAATAAAATAAGATGGGCTTCCCTTGTGGTTCAGCTGGTAAAGAATCTGCCTGCAATGCAGGAGACCTGGGTTTGATCCTTGGGTTGGGAAGATCCCCTGGAGAAGGGAAAGGCTTCCAACTCCAGTATTCTGGCCTGGAAAATAACATGGACTGTATAGTCCATGGGGTTGCAAAGAATTAATAAATAAAATAGTTTCTCCCTGAAACTACATATTATTTATCTGCCTATTATAGCTCTCTTCTCCCAGAAGGTAAGCTCCATGATGGTGTAGGGATCTGGTCTTACGCACTGTTATTTCCTCTAGGCCTAGAAGAGTGCCCAGGTCATTGTTACTGCTCAATAAGTACTTGTGGGAAAGGAAAGAAATAAGGGATGAAGGGAGGGAAAAAAAGGAGGGGGGTAAAGAAGGAGAGTGTAAAAATGAACTAACTTAAGAACTTTATTTAAAAAAAAAATACCCCAACATTTTCCTACTCCTCTCTATACACCAGTGGGTATGGCCACATCCACCATGGCTGCCCAGGTCTAGCTGCCTACCTGCTGTTATCTGAAGGTAGGAACCTTGCTGAAAATGTCAAGCCTCTGTCCTTCTACCATGCATACATGGATGCCTAGTGTCTTGTTAATGCGTGCACGCTCACTCAGTTGTGTCTGATCCTTCGTGACTCCATGGGCTGTAGCCTGCCAGGCTCTTCCATCCATGGAATTCTCCAGGCACGAATACTGGAGTGGGTTACCATGACCCCTCCAGGGCATTTTCCTCACCCAGGGATTGAACCCTCATGCCTTATGTCTCCTGCATTGGCAGGCGGGTTCTTCACCACTACACCACCTGGGAAGCGTAATGTCTTGTTAGGCCTGCAACTATTAATTCTCCAAACTCTGAGGTGACTTCCTTGGGGGTAGCATTAGGTAACAGCCAAATATGATCACGATTCATAAGGAAAAAACACATGGGCTAGATTTTAGCACAGAGAAAGGAAGAAAAGAGGGATGCAGAGGGATGTAGGCATTCAGCTGTGTGACGGGCTCAGGACTGATGAAACGTTGTGCTACAGAATCTAACCAGAAAACACAGTTTTCCCAATATTTAAGTGAATTGAACACTTTGGTTGTTGTCAAGGTAATTGGTTTTATTTTATTTAAAAGGAGTTGGGGAAGACCATAAACTACAGGAGAGTTACTCTTTTAGTAAACAGGGATACAGACCTCCCCAATTAGTCCACGTTACTGTGGTGGACTCTCGGCAGCTGTGAAGTCTCAACAATTTCAGGATGAATGCAGGTCATGAGGTCTTTGAAACAGGGACAAAGCAATAGTTGGGACAAATATTATGAAAACATTGAATCTTCTTATATGACCTTAGAACTTACTGGCTCTGCGTCCTTGTAGCTCCCGTGACTCATTAAAGATTCTGAGGCCAAAAAAAATGGACAACATTTAACTACTGTTTAGTATCATATAGTAGATGTGCAGATGGAAATAGATAGAGATTTTGTCTGGCAACTAAGTCTTGGAAATCTGCGACGAATGAGCAATGTCATCTATTATATATAAAGAAGCACAACTTCATTCAATCATTCAAGCTTTTATTGAGTAGTTTCTACATCCCTGACCTCGCCCTCAGAGAATTCCTTATTTAGTAGGACAGAAAGGACACCCAACTCTGTGTAATATGATATGATCAGCACATTATGGAAGTAAAAGCAAGTTGCAATGGGAGACCCAAGGAAAGATGAATAGATTCTGTATGGGGACTGTGGAATGCAAAAATATACAAAGTCATTTTCAAATGACATTTAGAAAAGTCACAGAAGAGATGACATTTGAGTTGGTTCTGAAAGGATGAGAACACACAAGATGCCATTAAAGTATACGATAATATTCAGGGTGACACCTGCATTGTCATTTCCAGGGGAGCTAAAAGCTGTACTATGGAAATCATTATAGTGCTGAAAAGGACATGTTCCAGGAATAAGTTTGGTGGCTGGAGACACCCATTTTCTTGTTTAACCCTGACTAATATACTTTCATAACTCCTGCCCTTCCTGCTTCCAAAGAGGAATGCAGTGGCTGTTCATTTCCCATGACTACCTACTCAGCACTTAAAGTATTTTATGGTCTAGTTTAGATGATTCTTACCCCTAACAAACAACAATGCATAGAAACTGCGGGCCAACACTGGTCATCTTCAGGTGAACAAGGCATTAAAGCCTCTGATTTGCCTAATTTGATGGTACATTCCATATTACTCTGAGTACATGAGGGTGGGTCTTCTTTCAGGTTGAAGATATCCGAAGCTCGGGTGCCATGACTACCCTAGAGAATGTTTGCTGTCCTAGTTAGCTCAGGCTGCCAGAACAAAATATCATAGACTAAGTGGCTTTTATCAATAGCAATTTACTTCTCACAGTTTGGAGGTTGAGAAGTCCGGTTAAGGTGTGGGGCAATTCAGGTTCTGGCAAGAGTGTTGCATCTGAGCTTGTTAAGTGGCAAACTTTTAGCTGTGTCTTCACATGGCCCTTCCTCGGCATCTGCTGGGAGGTATGGAGAAACCTCTCTGGTGTCTTTTCTTATAAGGACACTAATCCCATGATGAGGGCTCCATCCTCGTCTAATCCTAATTACTTCCCCAAAGCTCCAACTTCAAATGCTATCACATTGGCTTCAACACTGAGAATCACTAAGACAGTCTAAGAAAACAACATTTCTGCTTTCTCATATGTAGGACTTTTGTTTTCAT